CTCCTATATAGGCGCGATACTAAGAAGCGTAATAATAATAGAGTAAATAGGTATATTTAGGTTTATAAGATAAGTAGGAGCAAGAAGAGTAACATAAGTGATATTACTGCTTAGCTATATAGATACTCTATATAACTCTTATTTTTTTTAGTTATTATATTACGCTTAGAAGGCTTCTTAGTTTAATTATTCTGGGATTATATATAGTCTTAGGCCTAGTTATTTAATAGTGCCTAAAACTATCTAATTTATAGTATTATAATATATAATACGATAGCCTTATATATCGCGGATAGATAGATATTAATTTAGTTAAGAGAAGTAAGTAACTCTATATATTTAGTATTTTATTAGAGGATTAGCGCCGAGGCTATTTCGAAGGGTTTTTTCTATTAGGCTCGTACCGAACATTATTCCTTATATCTTAGCTAGCCTATAGCTTAAGAGTAAGTGCCTTTATTTATAATTATATTTCTCTAAGCTTCCTATCCTATTTATCCTAACACTAGACCTAATTAGCGGTTAGTTAATAATTTTCCTAAGGCTTCGTAATAGTAATAAACGACTACTATAGGGGATAAAGTTATTAGTTACGCTTAGGGTTACTTAGAGAAGATTTAATAGTTAAAAGAATTCTCTGAATATCGGTTTGCTCTCTAATATATAACCTAATTATTATATATATCTCTAAATAAGTAATTAGTGTCCCTCTTAGTAACTGCTTACGAGAATACCTTCTAATAACCTTCTCCTTAAGCTACTACGAAAGTCCTTAGATAAAAAGACTTACCTTATCTATATCGCTAACCTCGCCTTTTAAGTAGATATAGCTAAAGATATTATCGAACTTATTAAGATATAAGCGGATATTATCCTATATTATCTATTTAATTTAGGTAAGGAATTAAAGATATATCTTTATATATCTTTACTGCTCGCTATCGTTATTATAGAAGTGCTCTAAGAAGACTTCCTGTTGGGATATAAGGGTAAAGCTACCACGAAGCAGATCGTGGCCCCTTAAGTCCGTGGGATCAACCTTAGTCCGACTAGGTCAGTCGGTGCCAGACAAAGGTAGAAGGTCAAAGGTCGTAGGATAGACTATAAGCAGATATAGCCTAAACGAAGGCAGAACCACAGTCCTGAGGATCAAAGGAAGAAGGATAGAAGAAGGTAGAGATGACTTTGGAAAGTGGAAATGACTTGAGGAAAGTAGAACTGACTTCAGGAAAGTAGAACTGACTTCAGGAAAGTGGAACTGACTTCAGGAAAGTAGAACTGACTTGATTCTATCTGCTAGACAAGAAGGACGTATTTATAGGCTAGGATAGCCTAGAAATGACGTCTAGAATAACATATAAATAACGTACAAACACTAGGCAGCAACATAATGAAGGTGGCAAAGAAGGGAACCGAAGAGAAGCGAAAAGAATGATGTCAAGGATCGACGGTCGAAGCCACCCCAAAAGCACCCCCGCAGGATCAGGCTATGCATGCCTAAAGGTAGACCATTTTACCCCTAAGGAAAAGTGGTCCGCCTATCCTTAAGGGGACCGAGGGTCGAAGTCTGTTCACCGGGGTCCGAAGACCATGGTCGAAGTCCGCGGGTAAGGCATGCCCGAAAGCACCCCCGAAGGAACGGACCATTCATGCCTGAAGGCGGACCATCTACCCCTAAAGGAAAATGGTCCCGCCTATCGTTCGGGGGAGGGCCGCGGACCAGAATCAGAAGTGGTCAAAATATCATTTTGATAGAAGAAAAATCTGGTCACGTGATCAATGCAATCTGGTCTTATATGTTGAATATAAGGATAGATCTTTCTATGTAGCATTGGTCTATATTCCAATACTTCCTTAAAGGTATCTTAGTCCTTTCTTAGCTAGAAATCCTATCTCTTTACCTAGGACTTAGTGACTTTCGCATAATACTAAAGTAATATATCTATAATATTCTCGTTACTTTTAATACTATATCTAAAGTATATATCTTATAGCTTCTTTAGGAACTCGGAGATATTAGTCTTATTAAAGTATAGTGCTCCTAAGGATCTTAGAGCTAGTAATACAGAGAAATAAGGTACTTAAACTATATAAGGATAAGGTATAGCCTATATCCTATTAAGCGATTTAGCTAAGGATAATAGTGGCTAGTGCTTATAATCCGTATTATCTATATAATTATTATTATTTAGGGTCGATTCGGATCTTTCTAGTATAGGTTTATAGTAATCTATAAAGGTTAGAATACCCTTAGGGTCCGGTAGCTTAGGAGCTATTATACCTTATATACCGTGCGCTATTACTTACTTATAGAAAAAGAGATAGCTTTTCGGCCGAAAAGAAATACTAACTCTATACACTTTACTTTTAATTATATCTCTTTAATAATTCTTTTTTTTCTTCCTTTCTTCTTATTAAGGCCGTTTCCTCTTCTTATAATTTATAATATAGAATTATTTATATTAATATTATCTATATAGTAAAGTGCTATAGCTATTAGATACCTAGGTACCCCTACTTAGCTACCGTATTTAATTAGATAAGCTATATCTTTAGTAGTATCTAAAGCACCGCCGTATCTCTCGTATATTAGTCCGATAATATTCCTCGTAGGAACTAAGTATATTTAGGAGAACACTATATCTCGGCTAGTCACTCTTATTTATCCGCACTAACTATATACCGTCGTAATCACTAATAAATATAGTCTCCCGCTTAAGGTCTCAGACAGTCTTATAGCCTTCAGGGTCAAACGCGATCCCTACCCTTTAGGTATATATTTCTTTGTATAGTGATATACCTTAATAAAAGAGCCTTCCCGGGGACGCTAATATAAAATAGGAACGGCTCGATAGCTATCTGGCGATACAGACTAGATAACACACATATATACACTGCCTGTCTGGTATAGAGGATACTGGATGAGGCCGTACTGATACCCTATTGCGGCCGTGCGGGATAATCTTAATACTATATTATGGATAGAAGAAATTGGGTGAATCCTGAATGAATTAGGTAGATGACTTGTCTCTCTCTAAGTGTGTCTGGAGATATACTATGCAATACAGACATTAGATCATGCCTGAGGCCACACATAGGCTCATTATGTCACCAGTTCTCCCACTACAATATGAAATATCTCGTTCTCGCACTTTGAAAATTTTTCTGCCGTTCAGCAAAGAGGTTTAAATATTACGCTAATGGTCATAGAGACAGTAAAGTTTCTCCATCTCTCACAATTCACAGCTAAAGCGCTCGCCTTTCCATCGTATGGTCAAACATTCCCCACGAGTAGCAGCTTTGATGGCCGCCTCATCTGTTAGTAAATCCTGAACTCGCCAAATCAACCGTGAAATGTCGTCGGTGGTTCCAGACCGAAGGGCAACAACCGTTCGATAAAAGGGCATCATGAATGACTGATAACTCGGCAATATGAGCCCTCCTTCTCCGGTCGCGATGGTAGTCGTAGATGCATTGGTGTGCCTTGGCTCTGCAATTCTCGCATGTGATTTCACCAGAACACTGTCGTAGACGAATCAGTAACATATCTGATATCGTTAATTGTTACAAAAATCTTCGACATTGATTCTTCTCTGTTGACAATTCAAGCACACGGAAGATATTCTGCGCCGCTGCAGCTTAGCGGGGTTGCGTTCAGCAAGGATGCCATAACTTTCATTCCTCTATGGGATGTCCTTGGGCAGGAGCTTGCGCAGGGTCTTGACCGTCGCCATGGTCTAAGGGGGGGCAACGAACGTGGGAAAGATGTAGTGAAATCAGAGAGTAGCCAGGTAGGGGATGTAAGGAAGACGCAAATTCAGGATAGTGGAAAACTTCGATGGCTTCTTAATCTGTCTATTGCACGGCCTAAAGCTGTTCTTTGTTTGCTATTAACAAAGAACCAAATGTGAAGGCTACTCGCAGCTATCCTTTAGCTGAGGTAGGGCAGGCAGTAGTGAAAGGGCTAATCAGAGACATCCTGTGCACCTATCGATGGTCCTGTTCTTGGTATGCAGCCGGGCGCTACCTCCTTTACTTTTCGAACCCGCCCGCTACGCCGACGAAGAGGGGACCTTATTTACAAAAATGATCCGTAGGTAAGGGTCCGTGGTTGCCGTGCAGTGGCAAATCTCTATCCCTGATGGTTGCAAAATTAATTGAGATTAACCACACAAGCGAATGCCATCATGATCCGCAATATCTTGATTCATACGATTTTGAAGCTGATCAAACGCGACTAAGAATAAACGATCTCACTAAGGTGACCAAAGGAGGTACCTTGTGACACATCTCAACCAACATATGGCACTAACAAAAAAGCGAATGTCTCATAGCACCAACTTCCTATCCAATTTCCTCTTCCCTGAAGCGCAGTTGACGGGATGTGGGGTATTCAATGAGGCGAGCTAGAAAAAAAGGAATGACCAGACTGGGGTTCGATCCCAGGACCTTGTCGGTGTTAACGACACGTGATAACCAACTACACCATCCGGCCAATTACATATTGTGAAAGCAAAACCGAGAAATATATTGAAATTAACAGATCTGTCGTGGGCCACGTCACAGCTTCATTAAATCGTGGATACCGTGTGTCAGCACCTGCCTCCTGGTAGCTCCTACCTCCCGGCGCTGTTACCAGGGGCCACAGCACGGTTTATATAAAAGCGTGGATACCATGTGCCAGTGCCCGCCTCCCGGCGTTTTTTACCGGGGGCTACAGCACGGTTTTTCTAAAAGCGTGGATACCATATGCCAGTGCCCGCCTCCCGGCGTTTTTTACCGGGGGCTACAGCACGGTTTTTCTAAAAGCGTGGATACCATATGCCAGTGCCCGCCTCCCGGCACTGTTTACCGGGGGCCACAGAACGGTTTCTCTAAAAGTGTGGATTCCACAGTGAAATGAGCTGATATGGATAGTTGCTTCCCAGCCTTGTACATTATCTTATACGATAAACGATGGACGGAGCCCGCAAACATAATTTGCACTGCGGCTCCTTTCATTACTGCCTTCGACTATCACAGAGCCAGCCAGCGGTTGTGAAATAGGCTCCTGGATCATGGAACACTGATATGGGCAATACAGGCCAACCAATTATCTCAGTTTCCATATTGGTCTGCCACATATGCTCGAACCCTTCATGAATAAGATGTCCTTCTCCATAACCAAGAGTTCGCCAAAGTTTAATCCGGAAATTGAGCCGATTAGATCCAGATTCATCGTCGTCCGAATCTTCCGTCATATCATCGTCTGAATCTTCAGTCATATCTTCGTCCGAATCTTCGCTCATCTCTTCGTCCGAATCTTCAGTGATATTGTCGTCCAAACCATCGATCATATCGTCACCTCCAATATACGAACGCAGACGAGAGATATCTGCCGTACAAGGCAAGGCTCGAAACCTTGGAAATATTCTCTGCCACTCTTCGACAAAATTATATATTTTGTCGGGTTTCATCGAGTACTATGTTGCTCGAACCATATACTTAATAAGCATATGCTTTCTAACTTCCTTAGTGGATAGACTCTAGTCATCAGCAACGCAGAGAGGAATAATCGAGCCTATAGCAAGTTCAACACAGTTAAGCGCGGACAGTAACATACGAGAACTTCAAGCGTTGCACTATCAATCCTGAATTTTAACCTAAGTTTAAGGAACTCCACGTTTGGGAGAGCACGTAAGAGATCTAGGAATTGGTGTTCCACGAGCTCCCGCTTACCTCGGAAAGGAATATACTCCACACTCAATTTTTATAAAAGTGGGCAGCCACGCGCTATAGCGAGGAGTGATTTCGCGTCGGTTAAGCTATAGAAAGCAACATCAATAACTCATAAATATCGGCATTTTGCGATATGTTCGCTTACACTTTTACTGTAAGCAAGAGCGACTCGTTACAAGCTAAGAATTTGAAGCCTTTCAAACTTTAGTAATTATTCTAGCCAGTTTTCGTGCCATTCTCGTAGGTATAGGGCCTTCAGGCTTAGCCAAAGATTTTGACCCATAGAGATAGATACTAAATCTAGATTAGACATTGACATAACCCATGGGTTGGGTCCATGGGTCAAACCCAACCCGTCCATGGACGGGTCCTGGACACCTACCCCGAACCCATGGACGGGTCAGGTCTGGCTGCCTATAGACGGGTTAACCCATGGGTTTCTTGGCAACCCATAGTACCGTAAGACATAAGTTATACAATTTATGTAGTATTTAATGTATTAGAGTGGTAATATTTAGACAGAATATTACCGCATTTATTTAGGAAGTGAAGATTAAGTGAAGATCAAGTGAGATTAATTAAATACTAAACTATTTACTAATTTCGAACCCTTTATATATCCTCGGCGCCTTCCTTACCCTTCCAGAATGCCGTACTTAGCTTATTGAGGGTAAACCACTATTATTATTATCACTTTGCTCACTTTTATGATTAGATAAAATACTCTTTTGTCTCTTCCCTGCCCTCACAGATAGCCTTACTTTATCGTTACCTTTCTTAGTATCGCTAATTAGATTAATCCCTTCTAACGAAGGTAAAATCTTCTTATTTTTACCTTCTTTAGGGATCTCTAGAGCCCGAGCTAGTTTAAGCTATTTATCTTCTATCTTAAATTAAGTAAGGTAAGAGAATATTATTAGATCCTGGATAGTTATTAAGTTCAGACGACCTCAGCGATAATAACAAATATCGCGGGCTAAATTAAATAGCCTCTCTACCCCCGCACTAGTAGCGGGAATAGAGAAGATATCGCGGGCTACCCGTGCGAGGGTAAGATATTTAAATTAATAGTCTCTCTAGAAGGCCTGAGGGGTAGTACGTATAATACCTAAAGAGAAAGAGAAGTAAGCAAAGAGGGTAAAGAGGCTTAATAAGCTTGTAAGCCTTTAAATAGGAGTTAATTAGACTCGGGGGAGGAGTCGATCAGACTTATAGAAGGAGTCGATCAGACTCGTGGGAGTAGTCCCCTAGACTTAATAATATAAGGGATTAACCTTATAAGAGGAGTCGACCTAACTAAAAAGAGGAGTCGGTCTGACTTAAAAGTGGAGTTGAGGAGAATTAAATAAAGAGGCTTACCGGCTTAAAGATACCGTGCGAGTTTATCCCGGTCTAGGTTAGATTCACCTTTATCTTCGAGTAACCGATTAAGTTCCGACCTTTATATATAAGCTTTAGATAGAAGGGTATTATTCTCTTCGAATTAATAAGCTTTAATCCGATCTTAAAGGGTGCTATAATAGTGTTCGGCCTATATCTGAGTAGAGCCCTCTAGCCCACTAGACTATTCCTTGCGTTTGAAGTACTGTAACTTATCCTTTGGTGCGAGGATAGTGCTATACGCATATATATTACTAGCCTTAGGCTGATCGGTCTTTGCGTAGTACTCACGGAGCTTCTATAGGCCTACTTTAAGAGCGATAAGTATCTGTTACTCCTATTTAATTTAATATTTGTTAGTATAAGGGTAAATAAAAAGTAAGAGAGAAGTGAGAGAAAAGTGAGAGCGTACCTTCTTCTTTTTGAGCTGACTGATTAACGCCTCGAGGTATTTAAATAGCTTATTATAAAGCTTAAATACCTAGTGGATAGTTATATCTTTTATCTTTAAGAATATACTTATATATAGGAAGAATAGTCTTATAAGGCAAAGAAGATAGTTAACCTATCGCTATTCCTCGGAATTAAGCTTTAGGTTATCTAGGCACTTAATATAGCAGTACCTATTAAAGTATAGCTATAGTCGTTTAGCTCTTTATAATATTAGATAGGTGGAATTCTACTGTGTTCGGACGTCCTAAATTAGGACTAATTAACTAGGTTCTATCGATTGAAGCCTAAGGAATTCCGTATGTCTTTATGGGCTTCCGTTAATATATATTATAAGCTAGCGTACCCTATCGAGGTTATTTATAATATCCCCTTTCTGTCCTCGCTAGGTAGAAGCCTTCTGTAACTTATCGGTCCACACTATATCCACTATGTCGTTCTTTGGCTTTGCTTTAATCCGATATAGGAGCTTATTAAGGCTAAGCTAAATTATATACGCTATATACGGAATATAAATAATAGAGATATCTGGATAGGTCCGTTAGACCTTATCAAATATTATCTTATTATTTAACGTATTATTAGTGGTAATAGCCAGAATCTGATCTTTAATCCTATGTCTATTAATAATAGTATATAGGGCTAAAGTAAGGTTCTCCCTAGTATATATACCCTCGAGGGGTTCGAAACCGAGTAGGATCTGCCTATATTCCCACTATTTATTAAGGAAATACCTAGTGATAGCTATAAACGCCTAATAAAAGGGCGATGTCTAGTAATTAAGTATAAGTGATAGCTTTGCGTCTGACAGAAATATATTTAATATACCTTACTATTAGATTTAGACGGTGCTTTAAAGCTAACGAGTAAGGGTTTTACCCGTTTAGATAATAGGGAGGGAAGGGGCTTATTAGGTTAAGCGTAAAAGGTCTCGAAAGTGCTAGTTTTCGATAATCTGGAATAGTAGATAAAGGCTAGTGATTATAACTAAAAGCTACTTCTTCTAATCGTTTTTATCCTATATATCGGGCGGGGAAGCGTATAGAGCTTAGTGATTTAAATAAAGGAGTATTAGTCTTACTTCTCTTTTACTTTTCTTTTACTTCTCTTTTACTTCTCTTTTACTTCTCTTTTACTTCTCTTTTACTTCTCTTTTACTTCTCTTTTACTTCTCTTTTACTTCTCTTTTACTTCTCTTTCACTTCTCTTTTACTTCTCTTTTACTTCTCTTTCACTTCTCTTTTACCTTTGTCTTACCTAGGTACGGATAGCCGCCTAGATATTTCTCTGTTTTAGCTTACCCTTTAGTAGGTATCTTTCTCTATGCCTTATTATAATATTTATCCTATTTTTAGGACTATACGCGTAGATCTAGCCACAGTCCTTATAGGTAATATATGGTCTACTAGTAGAGATCTCTGCGCCCTATTTAAAGTGTGTCCAAACCTCGGATATTAAGCCTCTTTTATCCTACCGGGGATATTCCGCTCGTAGTTTCTGCCCATATATTATTATAAGCCACTATTAGATAAATATAGCCTTATTTATATCGGTCTATAGGATATAGTTTCTCTTAGGTCCGACGCGTTTAAGGATCGGTGGGGGCTCGGTAGTAATAGGCGCGGTAGACTGGCTTTCAGGAACCGAGGAGAGTAGGATAGAGAAGTAGTAATCAGATAGAAGAGGGTCGATACTATCACTCGTGATAGAATCAAAGTGTTCAGATAAGGATCTAGCTATAATAACGCGAAAGAACGTAAAAGTAAGGGTGAAGTAGGGAGGAAGTGAACTATGAAATAAATAGCGGGTAGGACTATACACGCGTTAATTAGGTATAACGCGTGTTGAGCGGGTCTTTTGATCTGATATCATTGGTCTAATCCTTAGGCACGGACCCATATACCTATTCTGCAGAATTAATCTCTCTAAGTCCGTGAAAGGATTAGTCTTTATCTTCACTACTCACGCAAATTAAACATATAAGCTCTTAAACTAGGAGATAAATATAGATAATACGTACACAAAATATTATAGCTTAATATTAACATTTGGGTGAATTAAAAATTAAAGAAGAATCTCCAACAGAAAGTGGTAGTACACTTATCTACGGGAAATATATATTTCTGCTCTACACCACTAACATAAACACAACTACCCTATTATAGACGATAATAATTAGTCTTCTTTATGCGACCGATACAAAACGTACTAGTCTAGGTATAAACGATCATATTTCATATAAATACAGTAGGGAAGGATGAAAAAAGAGGGAATAGTATGCGTTTAGACCAGAACTAAGGTAAGAAACGGTAAATAAGCTAAAAATTATGCTAAAAGTTCAGGCTGAATCAGGCCAAATCAGGCCAAATCAGGCCGAACATCCTAAATCAGGCAGGATTAGGTGTCTATGGGTTGCCCATGGGTTAACCCAACCCAACCCATGGACGGGTCAGGTTCCGCTGCCCGAGCGTGGGCAACCCATGGGTTGGGTCATGGGTCGAACCTTCTGCCCATGGACAACCCATGTCAATGTCTATCTAGATCACAACGGGGGGTTATAAGCGCCAATATTTCGAGGCGCTACTATTATTTAAGATAAGGCAGTAGTTCCATAATAGATTAACCAAAATTATAAACTAGGTCCGGTTCCTCCAAATAAAAAAAGCGTAATTCATAGCGTTTCAGTAACTAATAAAGATAGTAGATACTTTAGTCTATATTTATTTTGTAGATTGTGAGAGCTTTGAGATTAGCAAAATTGTTCTGTTCCTATCTGTTCGCATTGAATTGGGATACTGCCCCACTTTACCGCATCCTTGCCTCAGCCTCCATAATATCTAGATCTATAGCTTCATCTCTAGAGTTAATCTATTATTATATCTCTTATCTTCTATCTTCTATCTTTATAGGTTATGAGCTCTCTGCCTTATTAAGGCTATTTAACTATAGGCTTATACCCCTTGTTAATAGACCTGGCACTCACCCGCCCCGCGGGTCCAAGATCAGGAACCTCCACCCGCACCTCCGAGGGTCAGGGTCTAACCTCACCGACCCTGACCCTGACCCTGACCCTCCGAGGGTCCCTTGAGGGTCACCCGCGGAGGGTCCGACTTACCCGCATAAGCCACGCTTTACCTATTTAGGACACGCTTTACTCTTTTAGGTGCGCTGACTAAGCGAATTGACACCTAAAATGTTAGTTTTCTGCCTAAAAAGTGACTTTTTTGCTAAATTTAGTCACGTGTGGACCCTGAGGGTGACCCTGAGGGTCACCCTCAGAGGGTCAAACATAGAGATACCCGACCCTCAGGGTCTCAGAAGTCGGACCCTCCACCCGCCAAGATGAGGTGCGGGTGGAGGGTCTGGAAGGTCACCCGCGGGTGAGTGCCAGGTCTACCTATAGGCGAGCCTAAGTAAATATAAGTTTTATTAATAAAGTATCTATTTCCTAAGGTCTATTATTAGCACCGAAGAGGTTTATATAGATCTTATAAAGATTACGATATGTTGGGATATAAGGGGAAAGCTACCACGAAGCAGATCGTGGCCCCTTAAGTCCGTGGGATCAACCTTAGTCCGGCTGGGTCAGTCGGTGCCAGACAAAGGTAGAAGGTCAAAGGTCGTAGGATAGACCATAAGCAGATATAGCCTAAACGAAGGCAGAATCACAGTCCTGAGGATTAAAGGAAGAAGGTAGAGATGACTTTTTGGAAAGTGGAAAATGACTTCAGGAAAGTAGAACTGACTTTATTCTTTCTGCTAGAAAAGAAGGACATATTTATAGGCTAAAATAGCCTAGAAATGACGTCTAGAATAACATACAAATACTAGACAGCAACATAATAAAGGTGGCAAAGAAGGGAACCGAAGAAAAGCCAAAAGAATGATGTCAAGGATCGACGGTTTCAGCCACCCCGAAAGCTTCCCCGCAGTATCTGGTTATGCATACCCAAAGGTGGACCATTTTATCCCTAAGGGAAAGTGGTCGCCTATCCTTGAGGGGACTGAGGGTCGAAGTCTGTTCACCGAGGTTCAAAGACTATGGTCGAAGTCCGCGGGCAAGATATGCCCGAAGGCACCTCCGAAGGAACGGACCATTCATGCCTGAAGGCGGACCATTTACCTCTGAAGGAAAAAATGGTCCTGCCTATCATTCGGGAGAGGGCCGCGGACCAGAATCAGAAGTGGTCAAAATATCATTTTGATAGAAGAAAAAAAATCTGGTCACGTGATTAATGCAATGCTGATCTTATATGTTGAATATAAGGATAGATCTTTCTATGTAGCATTGGTCTATATTCCAATATATCCTAATTATAACTTAATAGATATTAGTATTTAGTAAGCTTCTATTCGAAGAAGCTTAATTAAGCCTAATAGCGGTATAATATATATAATTATAAAATACTTATAATTATTCTCGCACTTAAGGAGTAGAGGGCAGAGCTTAAAGGCCTTTAGCGAGAGGATCGGTTTAGTATCTTCTCCGATTATTAAGCCTTATAATATTTTATAACTACTAAGAAACTAAATTCGCGTTAGGCTCGCTAGGCTAAGTTCCTATCCTAATTTTACTTCTTAATCTATTACTTTATAGGGAAGCGGAATATTATCGTAGATACCCTCTCCTAAAAAGATCTTAGTTTAGGAAATAGATAAGAATAGATTCTTCTCCCTTAGTTATATCTTAAGTATAATATATACCCCAAGGACCGCGATAACCTTACCCCTACCTTAATTAGTATCTCCGAAATATATTTTAATAGCTACTAATAACTCTAATATTATTATCTAAGTAATCTTTGCGAACTAATAATATAAGAGTCTTAAGGAATACCGAGAATTAATAACAACTAATCTAGATAGACCTTAAAAACTATAAGATAAGCTACTATTAAATATAGGTCGCCTAATAGTGCTAGATAATAGGGACTTATAGGCCTAGTTACTTAATAAGATTTATCGGTAGCCCTTAATAGCGTATCTTAGATAAGATAAGATAAAGGCTCTCCTATTTATATAGTATTTCTGGCCTAAATAGTCTACTAACGTTAAATATTATATCGATAACTATTTAGTCTATAAGCGTATAAAGATATAGAGAGACTAGCCTCTAGGTCTATTATAATCTTTTCCCCCGCTAAACTATCTAAAATAATATATTATAATAGATTTCCGATCGTTCCCTAAAGATAAGCGGGGTTTTAGCGTAATATTTATAATAGTTAACTAATTAAGTAAGCGGCTAGTCTCCCTTCTATATTATAAGATAATTAGAGCTCTAGAGATAGCCTAGTTATTTATCTCTAATATTATATAGTACTTTAGCCTATTAGACTTAATTATATTAGACTAAGGAGACTAATTTATCTTAGAATTCTAGATAGAGGTCTACTAAGTCCTAAAAATTAAGCGTAAGCTATTAATAATATATTACCCTTAGATAGATAGCTAGAGCGAGATTATAAACTAATATATAATATAATAACTTTATATATTAGTAAATTAACGCTAAAATAATTAGTCTAACTAGCTTCCGGTAATAGATTTCGCTACTATAGCTCTATAGTAAGATTCTACTAAGAGATCTCTTTTCTTTATTAAGTGAGGATATAAGCCCTAGATATCCTTTAATTAGGATATACCCGCGGAACTATCTACGTTACCTTTGAGATTCTGGAGGTGGGAAAGTGTGTTCCATTCAGTAAGTGTACGAAGGAGTAGATATATGGTAGCCGTGCGGACCAATGCGGGTCCGTACGGCAGAAAAAGTTGGGTAACGTGACCGTTTCCCAGTAACAAGAAGGCCCTGTTATCACACCTTAGTTAACGTATAATACTTAGGACTATATTCGGCGACTCTAAGAGGTCTAGAAAGATACCTAAAAGGAGATTAAATAAGCCTAGGAGCGTTAGCGCGCCTAGGCTAATAAATATCGCTAAGAAGTAGATTTTAATATTAGTGATCTTATCTTTATTATTACTAGGAATTAGAAACTTAACTAGCTAAGTAAAAAACTCTTTAATTAGTTTAGTGGCCCCTACAAAATTCTCTTAAAGGAAGATTATAGCTATCGGCTTAACTTACTATCTTCTATTAAGGTTAACCTAGTCTTTTCTTTAGATAAGCTTCGCTATACGGCGAGTTCCGATCCGCTTATAGGTTAGATCGCAGACCTAGCTTTACTAATAAAAGTTAATAACTAATAGGAATAGGAAGTTAATAAAATCGTAGATATCGGATTACGTTATCGGAAGCTTTAATATAAGGCTAGGTAGATCGGAATTAAGGATAATAACTAATATCCTATAGGGGATTTTAAAAATGCTCCGGATAAGTTAATAGCTTTCTATAAGTATTACCTAGCCCTACCTAAATCGCCTATATAGTTATTAGTGTGGTTAGACGCTACTTTAAATAATTAATTTGTGGATGATTATCTAGATAATAGAAGACTAGAGCCTTAGGCGAGCCTCTTTAAATAGGGGGACTATATAACGCATAAATATCTTGTAGTAACGTATGAATACCTTATGGCCTAAGAGAGGCCTAAGGGGAACGTGATCTAGAAGGAGCTGTGGGTCTAACCCGATTCGGGATAGAAGTGGGTTTGTTTCGTAGATGCTCGTTTCCCTCTTTCGCTCTTCTTCTTCTTCTCCAGTTTAGTTGCTTCTGTTAATGATACACGAATTCTTCTTCGTCTTGGTCGGTAACAAATAGTATATCTTTTGCAAAACGGAGTTAGTTAAGGGCGTTCTAACTATTCAACGGACTATACAGATACCTAAGTCTACGATTTCTACCTTACTAGTCATATTTAGCGAGATTCGCGGATAGAAAGGGGCATTTCACGCCTATTAGTTCCGGTATAGAAGTGGTAAAGTGATTAACGAGAGTGGTGAGTTCTTCTGTGGATATTATAATTTTGATCTATCTTGTTAAGTTAGTGGCTAATATAGTCCGCAGGGTAGGTAAGCAAGGAGCAATATATATTAATTGTAAAGTATGCCAGCCCCAGCACCTTTCCTAACCACTATTATCCCCTACAAACCGACACTAATATAATCCGGGTGATCTGTGGCCTTAATCCGGATGTGGAACTGATACGAGCTGTCACACAGCAAAGCCGTTAGCGAGACACGCGACGCCCGCGCTACTTAACTAATTAATAAAGGGCATAGGTTAAAGAACATCCTAAGTTAGAAGAGGCACGGCGTAACCTAGACAATATCCGCGCGCAGTACGAGGAGACCCAGGAACCCGGCCTACTTCCTAGACTCCAGTAACGGGAGAAGGAGGTGAGAAATACGCGAAAAAGGTTGTACCGGAGCTTACGGCATAAGATCTGAGAGAAATTCGATAAAGAGCAAGCCTTCCTAAATATCGAGGCGCGGCTATCGGGTACCGCAGTTAAGGAAGAGAGCGAAGACTCACCCTTAGAGTACCCCCTTTAGTTATATCTCGTGCAGAGTCTTCTTTCCTATCCTATTTCTAACTCGTTAGAGGATAAGTAGTATCGGCGCGATACGGGTACTATAGCGGTTATCCAGTATTATGAAGTCCTTGAAGGAGGCCTATTAAGGGGCCGGCCTAAACAGAAAGCTCCTAAATCTGCTTCGCCGACTAGACCGATAACTCAGCCAAAGGATTTATAGCAGACCCGAAGTGATATTGACTCATGCAAGGTACCTACCCCTATATATGGCAAGCCGTTACGTGCCACTAGGGAGTACCTTAGAACTGCTAAGTAGCCAGAGGCATACTTTCAATACTTCGCAAGTGAAGGGCTGCCGGACAAGGTCCGCTTTCAGATGTTTCATGATCCCGGGTGTGTTACGCGCCAATTTGATGCTATTCATCTTAAAGAAGAACCACTCAAATGCAACTGGTGTGAAGTAGGCTTGCTACATCGAATGGCGTTCCAGCGCCATGCTTCTGATATGCATCGCGTGCGAAGTCGCTGGCGATGCCCGAATCCGATGCAGGGACTTCCAAAACAAGAATAGGCCTGCCATGAATCAACGAAGCCATTGACTCGGTATCCGTTTACTTCCAATTTGGAATGGAATCGCATTTGCCGTATCCAGCGAGAATATAGACGAAAGAAGTTCCATACGAATCCCGCGCGCGAGGAGAACGAGCACGAGCAGCGGAAAATGAAGCAGTTGACAGCATCTGTCAGCAAAAATACCCTCTAGAGCTTTCTATTCGATTTGCGTTGAAAAATTTTTGGTCCTTGGTTCTGCTTTATTCGTTCTGGCCACCGAGATCTGGACTCAGCGCTTTGCCTCTCTTGGGAATATCATGAAACTTATGAGAAGAGAGCACTTGAAGACAGTAGAGTGCAATGTCTGACGTGAATATTACCGAAGTCATGCAGCTTTAGCGCTATGGTAGTGATGCGTACAATACGTATAATAACTAGATGTTCTGGTGTTTGGTTTCTTGCTGATGGGGTGGTAATGCTCACTCTCCGGGTCCAAATTCGATAGACTTACATAAAAAAAGATATAGTCCAGGCTTCTCAAAATTGACTCGACCCATACACGATATGTGATGTGAGTGCACGATCTGTGGAGTAGTACTGTGTAGCCTCGAAGTCTGATATGGAACTACATACTGAGCGATGCACGAAAAATGCATGGGACCATTTTCTGCTTATTTGCACCAGTTCTCGGCTCCTTCGCCCCAAAAATATGTGTACGTCTTGTGTATTGTGAGCTGATAAATGATAGCTTTTATTTGCATTTGACATATTTGCTCCTTCGCGTAAAATAGGGACAGTTGACTGCGGGTTCTTTGAGGGCCTGCGCCTTTCGGGCTAACACACTAAAATCATTGGCTAGTTATGACTGCATTAGCGCACATTAGTTAGCGATTTTAATCTGATCTCTATATATACGGAAGATGGTATAGAGATCGCAGCACATTCAATTTATAAACTCACCTTTATTCCCACATTGAACGAAAGACAGTCTGTTCTAACGACAAATTTCGCCCGAGGAAACTTTTGAAGTCGGCATTCCGCATCAAAATCTCCACATTCCAGACCATGTAGTCTCGCAGCATAGTTTCCAAATTCCCTATGTACTCACTATCCTCAAAAACAAATACCAATAGCTGAACGATGTCTCCCGTCCGTTCTTCAAATAGAGTAAAATTCTCAAGCAATCGTAGTAACTGATAGAAAGATAGGACACTAAGAGAGAGCCAGCCTGTTCTGACTCCAAAACGATGGATTTCAGCGTGACTCAGAAAAACTGCTGCATAGCTCGTAAAAGGTTCATTGCATAAGTCCTTTTCAGATCCTGATCGTGGTGTATGGCCAAGTTTTGCCAGCACGATATCATAATTAAGCGAAAGCACGTTTGGGTGGAAGAGATTCCAATTTAGGCTAGAAGAATCCCATCTGTTCGCCTTTTCCTTCCATTGCGTTTCCCTGTTTTCTGACTGCGAAGTATCGTTCCCGGGAGATTGCCAAACGGGACATGGAGCAGAGTAATCCCCAGAGTATACAAACTCACAGCAACGACCAAAAACTTCCTCATCAATACTCTCGATCATCGCTAGCTCGAGGGCCTTTCTTGGGAAAGAACTCTCCAATGCCTGGTGAATTGAGAACTGCTTTTGACTTTTACCAACGGAAAAATGAACAACATCAGATTGCAGGACTCTGCGCAATTGTTAGGGATTGGAACAATCTTTGTCTAAAAGGGGGCAAACTTAATTATGATATGCAAGCCGCATTATGTAAAGAGTATTTGATAGAAAGATATCTGTCTAAGGCGGCGATATTGTTCACTTCAATAATAGGTTAGCAGAGAAAGCACAGATTTTCGATAATCTTTTTACAGATGAGGATTCTCGTGGTTCTTTATAGTGACCGGCTAGGCCCTAGCTCTGCTTCCAGTCACGGTCTAGCGTCCGCAGCGCTGTTATATTGTCGCCCAATGAAAGCCACTGCAGAGACCCGCTCCTACAGCAAGCTGGTAAGCCAATGAAATCAATCCTCACTGGGACAGCGAGGCTGTCTGGCTGAGAACCGCCGTCTATAAGCCACGGTTACAGTGGAAGTCGAAAACAGTTTCCCCTGCGGACACAAGATGTGTTGTTTTTCCCGGCTCGTACCCGAAACCGCGCTAGTCTCTTTTAGGTTTCCAGATAAACAAGCCTTGCTTTCCGTGACATGTCTTGCCTCGGTATTGGATTTCAGTACTTAAAGAGTAATGGTATAATACCGTAATTCTTTACAGAATGTTCTCGAGGGGTGGGGGGGAAAGTCCAGGCGATGTGTCCTGATCCATTCACTCGTCCCTGGATGGCTTGATATATTTCTTGAGGCAGGCCATAGCGACCCCCTGAAATGACTATCCCATTCCAGATTCTTAATCTGCCGCCCTTCTCCAAAAATCACTATCATTGTCAGTATCGTAGTCATCATCATCGTCATCATCATGAAGATACTCATCATCTTCAAAATCATCCCAAGATCTGTCGACGTCCCACTCCTCTACCTCCACTGACTCCACCACCTTGAGTATCCATCCATGACTCTCCATTTTCTTCCGAATATATGTGCTTGGACCTTCCTCGTAAACCTCGATGACGATTTCTTGGAGAGACGAGATTGCTCTGAAGCGAGCATCAATCAACGCTAACGCCCTGGCACAAATCGAAGGGCTGTCAAATGAATCTAGCCAGTTTTCCATGGTATTTGTGCTTTCTGGGGCTGTTATGAGCATTCTTAGATTGGTGCAGTGTGACTGTATCTTTTCCAGCATATGAAGGCTGACGTCTTCCAGGCTGACTTCGTCTTCGAGATCACAAAGTCTTGGAAAGTCGATGCGGATACATTGAAGGTGAGATGCGTTGATAAAGCCAATAGTATCAAGAAATTCGGGTATACGTCCAGGCGTGAGGTCAAAGCAATTATGGCCATAGAGTAGTGACCTGGCCTCATGTAGGATTACCGTATTCGTGGAGAGGAGGTTGAGATCTAGCCCATGATCTCCATTCCAGGGATCAATGGGCTCTTTGCGCACTAAGAGATATACGTATATCTCGTTGCGAAGTTCAGCAGGAAGACCTAGGAAGTTCGCTGGCATCTCTCCGATTGCAGTCCTGAAACTGTTCGATAGTATGTGTGAATAGCTCAAGATGTCATTGACGAAGCGGGGTTCACGGGAAGTCACGAATTCATGTCAATCACGTGTTTAGCAAAGACTTAACCATGTATGTGATATAAGAAGTAACTAGTCTTTCCGTATCATCGTATTAGAATACATAATGCCTGGATTTAGGGGAAGAGAGCTGTAATATTCTCGGTATGCCTGTGTTCTGGCCAGTAGATGCTAATATTTATCGACGAAAACACAATAGATATACGGAGCAGATGTTTGCTTGGGCATACGAATTCGAGAATCGGGACAGGTGTTTATCTTTTCTGCCGATGCATCAGGATTTTGGACGTTCTTAAGTTCTCACCTAGTATATATTACGAGAAAAGTTATAGCTTCAATCATTCTGACTCTCCTGAGGAATCATATTACCCAACGCCAGTTCGGAGAACTGAAAAGAATATCTGATTAGCGGAGGATTGTGTTCAACAAGCTGGCAGAACAAGAAGTGGGCCCAAGAGGCATACGCATAAGATATACCGGCCTACAACAGCTTCAGCTAGAGGATAAAGAGCTTTTTTCCCTGGGATTCTTGTTGACTTAGGCAGATAGCTGGGCGTGAGCTTTTGTACAAGCATCCAATTACTCAGCATTCAAGAAGTTTCTTCGTCTTGGACAACAACGCAGAATCAAACTCTTGGCGCCTCTCAAATTAGGTATTCACTAGTGGCATAGAAGGTATGAACCTTTGTTCTTTTTCTAGACCTAATCAGTGCTTAATGCCGTAGAATATAGTACAGGCGCGCTCGATATCAGTTTCATCTCTACACTCTCTTTAATTGTTTACTAAACTATATTTTGCATGACGCTTTGCCGCTTACGGCTAGACTGCCCCTCGCCCACACCTTCGGCGGTACACTGGTACGGTTATTAACAATGGCATAAAAATAGCTATCGTATCATAGTTGTATGGGCTATGTGTTTTTAGAGCCATTGGCTTGCAAACAAGCTAAACAAATCAGCTGGCAGGAGATTCGGTCCGCCATCTGTTCACGACACGTCTAGATCTTGCGCTTAGTCTCTCCCTGGGTGGGTGACTACCTGTTGCTATAGCAATTTGATGCAACAATCTGCAGTTTCAAGCCCGTCAACCGGAACCCGTAGGTAGCTGCGATCTGGAATTTCTGCAATCTTATCATTTCACTGGGAATATAGACATGGGTTATTCAATAAAACGTGTCCAGGAAAGGCACAAGGGAAGCATGATGAACGTGGATCAAAGGCTAGGGATGGACTCTGTTCTGTAAGTGCAAGAAAGATGATACGACGTGAAGAACAAGCGATCGCAATATTGGTTGCAGATATAGCAAAGACAGACGAATGAGTTGGGCGATATTTGATAGGCAACCAAAGGAGGTTGACTCCATTATAGGTTATCCAAGAGTGGCCATCATTCAATCCATACCCGTATTGTTCTGGCAAGGCCGTGGATCCTATATCAAATGCACCGATTGACGTGTGAAGATGATTATATTTGACTTTATCAAATTGAACAAAATTGGGGGAGCTGATTATAGTGGATTGACGAGCATGAGGTGGCCGGATCCCAGATCCTGACGGTGTTATCATTTGACGCTGATGCAAGTCGGCTTCCATCTTGCAGCCAGGCGATCGAGTTGACCCAGCCGCTATGCCCCTTGAGGGTTGACGTACACTGGCCGGTGGGAGGGTCCCAGATCCTAACATGCCTATCATTTGACGCTGATGCGAGTCGGCTTCCACCCCGCGACCAGGCACTCGAACGAACCGAACCGTTAAGCCCCTCGAGGGTTTGAAGGCATGAACTCCAATCTCTATCGACCAAAGGCTCATTCAAAACCCAATCCGGTCTCTCCCTTTCGTAACACATTCTGGCGAGGCTCAACATATGGCTAAATACCAGAGGTGAACTGTATACTTGAAGGGGGCTACTTTCAATTGCTAGCCTGTGGTATCGAATGAATCGGGAGGCGTCTTGAACGCGATTTAAAAGTGCAACTGGTTCGCCTCTTCCCTATTATTGTATTATGAATGTTAGAAGTGGAGATGACTTTCGGTATATGAGAAATGACTCACCTGAAGTAATCCTTCGAGCTTTATCATAGCTGCTATGCCTTTTGATAAACTTCCTAGAATGCTCAAGGCTTCAAGCCAGTGAAGGCACTTCCTTCGCAGAAAATCACCCACGCACCTTCTCTGATCGACGTCAAGATCTTTTTTTTTCATAGCATCCGCTATGAAGATGGTCAACCCAATATACACACGCATAGTGTGTAGCTGCTAATGGATTCGGACTAGGTGGCATAACTTTCTCAATTGGGTATGCAGGAAACTTGATTTGAAAGATGTCGCGCTGAAGTGTCTTACACAAGGCTTGAAGAGAACAAGAAAAAATTCTATGGTGCTCAGCCTCTTCAACTCCAGGTAAACCCCTATTTTTTCTTCTCTCCAGTAGAAATTCCTTGGCAGACTGATGGACGAAAATGATAGTGTCTTCGCGAACGGTCAAAAACGAGCCACAAATTGCAATAATCTCCGATAGGGCTTCAGAATCACTTGAGAGATCGTCAGGTAGCTCAACCACAGAGGGTAGCTCGTTAAGCATGATAGGGCGATACACTATGGACATGACAGCCAATATTCGCGTGTAGGACGCGGCATCTTCTGATTTGCGAACCTCATCGATCATCCGACCGTATAAGGCATCCAGTCCAGGAGGAAACGCCTCCAGCTTGTGAAGAGCGTGTCTCCGCGATATTCTATCGAGTTCTTGGCAGACCAAGGCTACCCAAAGGAAAGTGCCTTGCGAGTTTGATGACAAATGGCGGCAAATCGTATCACGAGTTTCATCGTTATACTTTTTAACCCGCACCAATTGACAAACCTTATGTTGGATAAAACGCCTCACGGCTTCAGATACGGACGCTTCATTTAGTTCTAATGAGATCGGAGCGGTCTGGGTGGTGCTAAGACGTCTTCGATATCAGGCCAGTTGCGGCTCGAGACGATCCACTTTACCTGTGAGTAAAAAAATAATAAGGAAGAAATAAAGTCGAGAAGGAAAGGCAGGCCTGACGTGTATTCGTCCAGTGCGTCGATAATCAAGTAGGTGGTCTGAAGGGTCGTGTCATTCAGAATATCTGTGAAGATCCTCGAGAGGGCATTCCATGCATTTATATCCTCGAACAATGATTTTCCCGCGTGGTCATACTAATCCTTTACATAGGAGAGAAGACATGGCTGCTTCTTAACAAGCGAGTATATTAAGCCGCGGAGCACAGCCGTTGCAGTATTAATTCGCGCGTCGCTAGCTTGGCAGAAAAAGAATGAGACATTCGCAGTATTTGCAATAGACCTTGTCAACTCGTCGATGATACCACAGAGGAGCATTGTCTTGCCTTTTCTGGGGTCACCTCTGATCCAAAGAAGACGGCTGCTTGGGCTATCTTGCCATTGTTTGTACGCCTCGTTGTCGAGAATCCAGTGATACGAGTCCTTCAGCAGCCCCCCGTTGGTTTTCTGAATACGATCTTTGTCGTGGTGAGGATCTGTCGTCCGCAGATCCCGCAGGCACGCTTGATTCAATGATGCTTCCGATTGCACTTGGGCAGTCACGCCGATTAGTCACCTTGCTTTGGAATCATGCGCCCTACTTACGGAAATGAGCAGTGATATGACCAAGATTCTGCCCAACTTGGAGCCCAGAGTTGGTCCCATCATATGATGTCGTATTTGCCGTTATTGCATCTAGGTGATTCGGACAAGGTAGTCGTGAGCACTCAGCTGAGTTGTCATAGTACCCCGCTATCAGGTGGCCTATCAAGCGACTAGGAAGGGAAGACTCGTCATTTTGGCTTCATGGCCCTTGTTCTGTGGGAGACGCAGTATGTGTATTTTTCTCAGTTCCAAGTGTTGCGTAACTTTGGCTAAAGATTATTAATCCACTTTCGCACAACACGGCATGCCGTCCGCATTAGAAAGGTGACTCGGGGGCATCTAGAGTATCAATCGTATGATTATTTCCAGTATATTACTGAATAGCTCATCATGTGATTGCAGTTACATTATATTGACGAATTTGAAATTGCTTAAGACAAACATAGACTAGCGAGTTTCAGAATTAAGTTTGGGATTGAATCGAAGAGAGAAAAATAGTGAAACTGATTTCGAGCGCGTCTATACCGTAGTAAAAACACATCAAAAAAAAAGAACACACAACAGAGAGGATTCCTTGGTGGTCACCCATCCAACTAATGACTCACCGGCGTGTGGCTTAAACGCGGCCGATAGTCGGGTGGGTGCCACCCAGGTGAGAAATGGGCGAGCGCCGCTTTACAGTCGCGCGACCGGGGGTGACAAGGGTGAGTGCGCTATAGACAGGGTGATAAGCTGATTGAAAATCACCCGCCGTCACCGTAGGTTGGAGGTCAATGGCGGTGTAGCTATAAATGGTAGGCGGTAAAGGGGTGGGTCTAGGGGAGTGCTAAAACTTTGGAGCCCCAGCAAGTGGGGCGGTCTTCAGGAACCGAAAGTCCTTATACTGTTTTACAATGATAAGTCTAGGAGTAGATACCAGTCGTGCGTAAACCCATTGGTCTGTTCGTGAACCCCGTGCTCGTTATCTTGGACATGGTGTAGCTAGTTGCCGACTTTTGTGTGGCATTTAGAACATTTGTGTAGCTGGTTCGAACCAAGTTGGTGGTTTCACTTCTCGGGTCTTTGCTCCAGGGCTTCGGCTAAAGCTGGTGGCTCGTAGTTCTTGACATGGGGGTTATTTTTATTTGACGTTGACCTTGATTGGTGTCTTGTTGTCGCTGGGCAGAGCCTGGGTGACACTGGCAAGGTGAGTAGCTTTTAAAAGACCCGAAGACGCCGTCAAGGATGGGGATTTTGGGTGGTCATTCCTGAGTCTTTTCAGCTATCTTTTATCATATCTTTATTTGCCATATCTTTGATACTCACTTCTTCGTGAGCCGCGCTCTAGCGCGGCGCCCAGGCTACTAGCTCATTCAACCCAAACGCGATTGAAGAAACTGTTTAATAGTGCTAGGTATACCAAATCCTGTTTCTAGCACGGGTAGATATCAATTTATGTCTGCGATCCCCGGATACCGGACATAATACGCCTGCCAGTCATCAATCTCAGTCATCCTGTGGAATCCCGGAAGCTGCACAATACGCCAGCGTATGTTCATCCAGCCCACATCATCCTCAGTACACCCTTCAAGGGGCTCGAACTCCTCAGGCTCTGATATATCCTCGTCCTCAGAGACCTCTTCAGGCACATCTGTCCATTTCCATTCAGCATTAACCATGCGGACATGCCCTAATTCATATTCTTCGAACCCTCCCAAGGGGGTGTTTAGAACGGACTCCATAGCCTCCTGGTCCACGGTGATGAAGAAGCGGTATCGGCCGCTCGTTGGAGTGTAGTCTTCGCTCACGCCCTGTTCCTCTTTCAATGCAGTCTTCTTCCACTGATGGAAGTGCTCGCGTAGGGTGGCAACCGTGGCACCCTCAAAGGAGGGGTCTTCCAAGACCGTTGGGGCGAATGTGTCGAGGAGATCAAGGCCACTGTATTCCTTGAGGTCTTCTGAGACGGCGCCGACCATGCGAGCCATGAAGTTCTCCCAGTCAGAGTCATTGTGGTACGTGCAACGAAAGATCACGAAGCCCCAGGTTGTGAATCCATCCTCCTTGAGAAGTTCCTCGACCAGATCAGCCCCATTCATAAAGGAATACATTGTGGGATCGCGCTTTGAGTGAGAGGCCATTGTGGTGGATGTTGAGAGAGTCTTGATTGTGTTGAAATATGATGTAGATAAGGACTTTGCGAGACGTGAGGGATGTTCGAAGGGAAAGCGAAAGAAGGTCGGGCGGGTAACGCTTGGGCGGGCGAATTGGCTGTAGATCGGTAGATGGCGTGTAGTTCGAAGTATCCTCCTAGTAGTCATGAGTGCGAAGGCAGGCCTTGGTTCTGTTGAGATGAGGATAAGTAGGGGAAGAGGTGGGGGCTAAGGGGTATGGTCCAGGGGCAAGCAGGATCTCTCAAGTTTGCAGAGATTTAAAGTGGAGATGCGAGTATTCCCTCAAACGCTTCAAATTGCTCAAATCTCGGGTTCCCAGCATGATGCAACTGAGGTTCTGCCGGGATCAAAGCCGTATCTAAGTTACCAAGAGACTCTCCCGAAGGGCATCGGTCTTAATGATCTGGTGGATGATATTAGCTACGCTTGCACATCGTAGTTCAGCAATGGTTTTGACATACCAGTTACTAAGTATGTGTGGTCGCTTTCAGGCATGTCGGTGTGACATTGTTTCGGAGCCCTGAGTCGAGGTGCACGTCCAAGTCTGTCTCATGCGTTTCCTGGCCGTTTTGCGTCATAGCTCTCTCTATTTCGATATCAAAATTCATTTCCTGCAGGAGAATCCAAATTTTCTTTCAGGGCATCTCGGGATGCCAGAGAAATATCAGTGCTGGCACCAAATGCTGAGCTGAAGGTCGCTTCTTGAAAATACGGTCTCGGCGGGAGGGCACGGGGAAGGGGTTGAGGAGCCACAGAGGCATTATAGGCCCTCCAACAGGAAGCAGGGAGCGTACGCGAGGAGGGCTTTGTAGGAGAGTGAGGAGAGTAGAAGCTAATGTTGCCAAGGCTGATATGCATGGCGGCCAAATCAACAGACGGTAAATGAGAAGTGATCAGCGAAATGGAGAAGGAGCGCGGACGGCTTATAAAGAACCTGAAATCACTTCTTTAAACAATGCCAAGTAGCTCCGCCGCATCGCCGTATCGCCACTCGGAGGTTGCACATGCCAGCATCCTCATTCAGCTACCAATCTCCTGAGCAACATCGGGATCCATAAGAAATTGGACCCACAAGCAAAGAGATAGTTCCGTTGTCGGAATTTGCCTCACTCAGAGACCATGGTCAATTACCATGGCTGCCATCTCACGCACAAGCACACCGATTCTCCGCGGCTCCATCGGACTGTTCGGACATGCGGACGGCTTCGTAGACCAATTCCCTAGATTGTTTCCTCTAACATTTCCGTGAACTATGGCGAGCAGTTCCACATCAGCCTCGCAGAGCCGTAATCCGCAATATCTCGGTTCCTAATCCAGCGCAGTACCCTGCAAGCGATGCATCGTCCGGTTACAGTTACGAATGTGACCCAATAATTGTCCCACCATTCGGATAACTCCGCGGCCATTCAGACAGATCATCACGTAGCCCGCTAGAGCTTTCTCACAAGTCATCATCTGTTGGGAATCAATGGAGCGCTTTCGGGCCACACCGGATGATGAGAACACTGGGACGCACGAGGCATTTTTGTCATTGGTAGTGACGCTGCGCCGAGCAGATGACAACACCACATGCCTATCGAGAGGTCATAGTCCTGCCCCGGAAATGAGACACGGGCTGTATGCGTTTCCCCAAATAGGAAGGATTGCTTCAAGAGGTTTGAACCGGGCTGAAATAGGCAGCTCCCGATGGCTGGGAGACCATTTGGGGGCGGCCAATTTAGGCAGGCGAGAACACCTCGCGAGCTATGTCGCATGCCTCCATCTATGAAAGATCAGCATCTCACGCGGCGGATCTCGAATCAGTCGGTGGATGCCAGCGACTTCGCAGTGACACGAGTGGGGAGCGAAGGGGGCGAAGTACTTCTTGTGGGAACGGTCATTTCCGAAATGCAGGGGGCCGGAGCAGTGGCCTCCGCGCTCGCGAGCTGAGGAGAACGTACGGCCGTGGGAAACGAGAGAGAGGTGGTCGAGCGACGCACCGTCTGAGACTATATAGTTGATGAGGGCACCCGGAGGCGGCGACTGCCGGCAGTTCCTGTTGGGGGATAGCGCGAGACACCATACCCGATGGGGTGACGCTAAACCAGAATAGGGCGGCACGGAACGGGCGCTAAACCCAACGTGGGGGGGGGGTGCCGGAAACGGCGCCCTCCTGGTAAATGCGACTTGTACCCCAAGAATTATACTAACCCTAACCCTACCCTAATTAGTATCTCCGAATATATTTTGATAGCTACTAATAACTCTAATATTATTATCTAAGTAACCCTTATAAACTAATAATATAAGAGTCTTAAAAAGTTCTAAGAATAAATAAGAACTAATTAGGATAGGCCTTAGAAACTATAAGATAGGCTACTATTAAATATAGGTTACCTAATAATATTAGATAATAGGGACTTATAGGCCTAATTACTTAATAAGATCTATTAGTAGCCCTTAATAATATATCCTAGATAAGATAAGATAAAGGCTCTCCTATCTATATAATATTTTTAGCCTAAATAGTCTACTAATACTAAATATTATATAAATAATTATTTAGTCTATAAGTGTATAAAGATATAAAGAGACTATGTCAGCATATTCAAGGACTGTCAGCATTACCTTTAGTCATCCAAGAAGACTATGATCTTTATAATTGGTCAGGTAAATACGAAAAGCCACCTAATTATAATAGGTCTATTAAAAGGTGTTCTATGGATAGTGTGAAGGGCTGAAGTAAGACTTAGATTCAATCTGACTAGGCCACAAACTGTGTACAAAAAGCTTGAAGAAGGGATATTCCCTCCGTGCGTTCGTTCCGTTAACATGCCAGGGTCACGTGGTTTATGTGACCTATACCGGGCATAGGCCCGTGATAATACCCCCCTCTAACCTAAGCCTCCCGGTGGTCGCGACAATATACGTATCGGTGTCGATTTGACGTCGTATTATATCCGAAACGGGGCCGTTTCGTTCCTCAAAGGCTTCTAATACGGCGCAATCCTGGACGGAGTCTAAGTTTTCCTATATTTGTTCTGCCTACCCTATCTATTATATTAGCGCTTCGTCGCGGTATCCCTGTCCGACCTTCTTACGCTAAACGGTAAGGATTTTCTAAATCTCGTACTTTTCTTCGCTATTAACTATAATTAGAGGCGGCTACGTATTGTCCACAATTTATAATAGGAAGGGGTCCGCTACTATAGGCCTAACTAATTCGATATAGAAGACTAGGTATACGCCTATAGGTACGTTAAGCTTAATAGTATGCGGTGACAGTACGTCCACAACTCTATACCGGGCGTATAGCTAGTCTAGCTTCTTCGATAGTCGTTATATATATATATTCCGAAGGTTTAACTATACTTAGTTATCTTTTTTATAGATAGGGGCGGCCTAGCGTCGTCGATTTATCTGCTCTTCCTATAGTGCCTATACCGAAATAATAGTAGCTTAGGCCTAATCGGTGGCTTCTCGTAGGCGATTTATAAATATTTCGCCTACTTTTCCTAGCTATATTAGGGCGTCCGGTAACTAGTTTAACTTATCTATCCTAATTAGGTTAATATAGTACTTATAGGTAAAGAAGAAGGGGGAGATCCCTATTAATACTATATTACGGTTATTAATCGCGGTAGTGACTATTAGTAGAAGCTTCTTCTAATTATCCTATATATAAGTAAAAAAGATATATAAGATCTATTCGATTTCTTAGTTAGCTCGCTCTATTATACTATTAGTCTATAGGTAGAAGGCAATTAATAATTATCATTAAATCGATAGTGTTTTGTATACTTTTCCCTAAAATACGCTTACAAACTAAGGGCCGCGGTCACTCACGATCGCTAATAGGACACTATAGTATATATAGAAGTGCGTAAGGAATACTTCCGCTATATCTTCTACTATTATATCCCTTATTCTAATAAGGATTACGCCTTTTATTAGCTAGTCCGTAATCACTATATAATTCGTTACTCCTATAGATTTAGATAGCGATAGGCTAATAATAAAGTTTACTAATATTTTAGCCTAGATTCGTTAGGGAATCGGTAGTAGTCTTAATAGCCTATACTTTATATTACGCTATACCGAGCTACGTCCGTAGATAGTGCAGTTCCGTAGGAATTATCGTATATCCTTCGTGGCCCTAGGCCAAAAGAATTATTGAGACAGTATTAAATATATCGCGTCTTGTCCGGGGTACACTATTATATATAAGTTATAGATCTTTTAGATAATACCCGTTTATAGGGTCTTATTATCTGGGATCTATATTTATTACCTAAAATAGAGTAACCCTTAATTATCTAAATAGCACTCCGATAGGCTTATCTTTATATTCGTTTTGGCCGCGATTTAACGGTCTCCCTTTAGTAAAGTATAGGAGATTTATTAGTATATTATATCGGAACTCCTTATCTTTGTCTACTCTACCTATAGCTCCGGTTCCTTAAATAATAGGATATTTCTTTCGGAATCTGTCTCTCCCTATACTTAGTTATTATCTACTTATCTTATCTTAACCGAGACCCTTTTAAGTAGGACTTAGAAGTAATTTAATAGCCTTTCGTTAGAGATACCCTTAGGTATATCTTAGTTTTAATAAGAGAGAGTATCTAGCTATATTACTAGCTTACCTAGGCGATATTATAGGTTAAAGTTAAACTCCGTTAAAAGGTTAGCCTACCTTATCTGCCGTTCGTTAAGATACTATACCTTACTAAAGTATCGTAAGTTTTTATAGTCTGTTACGATAGTGAATTAGGGTACTATCTTTAGCTTTAGCCTCTATTTATATAGGGCTCGTATAATAGCTAGGAGCTCCTTATTATAGATCTTATAGTTTAACTTTGCCGGGATAGCTTCTATAATAGATAGGCGTATAGTTATAGGTAGCTATTAGGTCTATATTACGATAAGACTGCCTTAGTAGCCTAGCCAGAGGCGTTAGCTTCGACTACTATTTTATAGCCTTCTTC